TTTCTCTGCTTCTCATCCCGAACACCCCAAACACAATATTCACTGTTTTTTAAACAGAACTCTCATATAGTCTTACCCATGGAAGCCCATCACTGTTGAGCTTGTCATAGTCAGTACCTTCAGACACTCGAACTTTTTCGACTCAGAGAAGAAAGTTAAATCCCTTATGATCAAAAAAGAAAATTGAATTCAAGTGTAGGCTTACAATAATTTTACAGCTTAGGTCTGAAGACCGGATATTTCGATATGATTCTGCAAATAAGTAATTCACTTTACATAAAACGGACAGTCAGACGCCATCTTGTGTCAAGGTACGACCTGATATATATCGGTTTCAGCCGGATAAGAAAAACCAATTTGTGTCTTCTCATATTTTTATGGTCATTAAATTAAACAGAGTAACCTCTATCTGTGAGATCGAATATGGGAGGAAATTATTATAAATGTAGTTTTTCAAGGAACAAGTTATTTAATACGTGAATTGAAACTAACTACGTCAGTATATGGAAGCTTTAGTGACAAAACATCTTCATAGTTACATTATCCTAAACGGAATTTATTTATCATCTAATGGATTATCACTTTCTCAAGTAAGAGTTACCTACTATCTTCTATCTATATTACAATCCAGTGTACGCACTTCCTATTCTAAGCGTATTGAAAACTGGTCAACAACTGCAGTTACAGTACGCGACTGTAATCTTGAGACTTACAAGGAATGCAGGAAGTCCGAAGCGTTAAAGGCAGACGCTATCTCTCCTCCTTCCTCCTTCACCCCGCAAGTCTCAAGATTACAGTCGCGGACTATATAGCACATGCAGGATGTTGAATGTCTCTTGGCCTGTAAATTTTAAAGAAAATTATTTTTAACGGCAACATAAACTATCTTACCAAGACAATATAAATATCTATCTCCACAAATCACGTACTCTTAATGTTTTCTCAGGCAATCTAAATCAAAAACAACATAACACAATGAAACTTAGCTCCATGGCAACGCAGTGGATTCTAATAGAGACGGTCATAGGATCAAATGCTGGTCTATTCAGTTTTTTATATTTGTTAATCAACCGTATTGTTTATTTTTTCATTATTCAATTTTTTTTTCCAAATATCTCTCAACATGTATTATTGTACGACTCTATAATAATAAGTAGCACTAGTGTCGATCCCACTTCAGAAGTTTGTTCGTACGCCATATTGGTATTACAGACAGTATAAAGTTAAAAAGTACTAGTTTAGGATAGCCTTCAATGTTATCATGTGCATAGCAAATTTCATCCAGATACGTCTAGAAATTATCGAATTTAAACAAGAATTACAGAAAGATAGAAATGTCCAGATCGTACAAACAACGCATAATAATCAGAATATTTAAAAATTCTCTGAGTCAAAAGAACGCAGTAACTTCTGTGAATGACAGTTCTATGTATGTGACTTTATTTAATGCTATCGCTTAATAGTGCATGA